AACCCTGTCTCGAAAAACCAAAACAAAAAAAAAACCAAAAAAAAAAAAAAAAGAACAAATTACTTCTACAGCGCTTGGGCTCCTCAGCCAGGTCCATGTAACTAAACAGGTCAGAGCATGGGCAAGGACAGTGGAGGGCTGCAGCTCAGGAACCCTGTCCTTTCCCTTCAGACCATGCAGGAGACGAATGTTCAAGTGGCATCTGAGACGAGCTGACATGAGAGGCAATATGAGGACAGCTGAGGGGTCAGAGAGGGTTGTGACCTGACGTGCTCAGGAAGTCTGGAGGGGGAGAAGAAGGCTGGCAAACTGTGTTGGCAAAGAACCAGGAAATTTGCTGCCTCATGCCCATAAATGATATGTGTTTCCTCATGGAGCAGGACAGGGCAGGAGCAAGGGAAAAGCAAGTGGCCTGTTCACCAGGTCTCCCAAGGAGGCAACAGGATCCTAATAGCTACAAGCTAAGGTAGATAGCTTCCAAAGTGAATGCAAAACAATTTACAAGTTACCTCATAGAATGGAAAGAGGTTGCAATGTCTTAGTTGCTGCTGAGATGAAGTACAAAGACCAAAAGCAATGTGGGGACCTAAGGTTCATTTCATCTTAGAGCTGAGGTGACATTCCATCACTGAGCAAGTCAAGACAGGAACCTGAAGGCAGGAACTGAAACAGAGGCCGTGGAGGAATGCTGCTGACTGGCTTGCTCCCTTCGGCTTGCTTAGCCTGCTTTCTTATACACCCCAGGACCACCTGCCCAAGGATGGCACCACCCACAATGGGCTGGCTCCTTCCACGTCAGTCATTCACCAAGAAAATGCCCTACCAAGTTGCCTCCAAGCAGTCTGATGGAGGTATCTTCTCAGCTGAGGTTTCTCTTTCCATATAACTCTAGTCTGTGTCAAACACACACACATGTACACACATACACACACACACACACACGCACGCACGCACGCACGCACGCACGCACGCACGCACAACCATCAAGAACCGTGAGCTATGTCCTCAGGGATCAATCTTTGCATCTATCCTACGAAAGCACCTCTCTCTCAAACTGTCCGTCCCCAAGAGATGAAAGTCAGAAGATGGTGTTACTGAAAAACTTCCTTTTCTTCATCCTTGTCCTTCATCCCATGGAGTCAGAGTTAGCAAGCTGAGAAGAAAATAGAGGGAGCCCTACCTTACCCCTTGCCTCCAGCAGGTGAACCTCTAGACTCTGTGGGGAAAGGGCAGGAGCCTTCACTTTGAGTAAAAATTAGAGCCTGGACAGAGGTGGAGCCTTCTGACTCAAAATAAGACTGGTTTAGGTAACTTGGGTAGCTACAGAACTGCCCCAACAGTAAACAGGATGCTGGGACCTGCTCGGTTTTGGCAGAGGAAAAACTTCTTTCCTTTTGTTAAACAAAACTTCAAAGGTAATGGAGCAAAGAGAAACAATTTGATGAGGTCACCACAAAAGCTAACTTGCCATATTAGTTACTAATAAATGATAAATACTCTCTAATTAAAACCTTTCATTCCAGCCAGGCAGGATAGCTCAGAGGATAAAAACACTCACTGTGCAAGCCTGCCATGAGTTTAGTCCTGGATCCCATAGGAGGAAAGAACCCACTCCTGAAAATTGTCCTCTGACCTCCATACTCAGGAAGTGGCATATCCTAGACACACACGTGATGATAAATAAAATAAATGACATTTTTAATTCCTTTGATAATAATAAAGCACGCGGTGGAGGCGCAGTCCGTGGGGTTAAGCTGGAGTTCTACCACACCAGATGCAGACTTCAAAACAGAAGAAATGTTTCTGATATTTTCAGGTCTGTTAGTCGTTTCTGGATCAAGGTGTGTCACATGGCTTCAGTTACCAGCTAAGGAGAGAGCACCCAGAACCTTGGGACAAAGATGGACAGCAGGCTACAGGGCCAATGAACAAGATGTGAAGACTTAAAATTAGGAATTTAGGGGAAAGTGAGAATAGAAGCAATTAGTATTTTGGGCATGGGCACACACACACACACACACACACACATACACATAAATAATACATATCACATATACACATACAGAGACATACATATTGCCCACACCCAGATACACATCACACACACATACACGCACAGATGATACACATCACACATACACACAGAGATGTACACCTCTCTCTCTCTCTCTCTCTCTCTCTTTCTCTCTCTCTCTCTCTGTCTCTCTCTCTCTCTCTCTCTCTCTCTGTCTCTCTGTCTCTCTCTCTCTCTCTCTCTCTCTCTCTCTCACACACACACACACACACACACACACACACACACACACACACACACAAACTGTGGACCTAACGATGAGTTTTTTATATTGTAATCGCATCTCCAACCTAAGATAATTGAGAAGTCTATCCGCTGTGATTAGCAGGTAAAGGATCATGAAGGCATGTGTGGCAGGCATGTAAGAACAATGCTCGGCTTGTTCACTGAGATAACTTCTCTCCCCCCTCACACTCGACAGTGCCTTCGTACTTGTCAAATGTGCATTCCACGTGGAATTTCATTTGCTCTTCAATGTGATTTTTAATGTCCCCCCTCAGAAAGTCCTGGCTTTCTCTTTCATCAGCATGCCTCAAAGTTTTACTTTTCTCCATAAATGTTTGACTAATTAATATTTGTTTTAGCTGATAAAAATCCTCATCTTTCATACTAGGATATCACTGAAAATACTTTGAATTTTCCATTTCTATTAAATTTTGATTCCTTTTAAGATTTTCAAATTAAGTGAGTTGGGAGGAAAAGTAGAAAATAAATTTCTTTCAGCCAGTGTTTTAGATATCTCATCACTTCAGTGTGTATGTGTGTGTGTGTGTGTGTGTGTGTGTGTGATATGTATGTCTCTTTGTGTGTGTATGTGTGATGTGTATCATCTGTGTGTGTGTGTGTGTGTGTGTGTGTGTGTGTGTTGTATCTGTATGTGTGGTGTGTATCTGTGTGTGTGTTGTGTGTGTGTGTGTGTGTGTGGTGTATCTGTATGTGTGTTGTGTATCTGTGTGTGTGTTGTGTGTGTGTGTGTGTGTGTGTGTGTGTGGTGTATCTGTATGTGTGGTGTGTATCTGTGTGTGTGTGTGTGTGTGTGTGTGTGTGTGTGTGTGTGCGTGGTGTGTATGCATTCAGTCTGCCCTGTATTTCTATAGAGTCCCAGGTTCCTTTATCTGCTACTGTCCCCTCAACTGTGTTATTGTAAGCACTGGCATGTGCTGAGAGAGCTGCACCTGACCGCATGAGTCCTCTGCAGGTATCATTGGAGTCTAAGAATTTTCCCGGGGACTCTGGAGACCAAGGTGTTCACCCTTTCTGTAGCTACTGACAAAGGGACGCATAGACGTACGCTGTTGGGGGAGCTATTTCTCTTTCACAGACAATCTTTTTTCAAAGTTTAGAAAAAAATAAAACAAAACAAAACCTTTCCTTCTGTCAAGGTAGGTAGTGTATTTTCATTGTGTAATTACTGGACACGCCGTGGGGGTTTAAATGGTGCTAGATCTTGTGCTCCTGGGCACAGCCTTTATTGTTTCTGTGTCTTTAGCTCATAGAACAGTGCTTAGAAGTACCATATATTCCATAAAAGGTGTTAAATAAGTTTATGAAACTATGCGCGAATAGTATAGAATGTATGCGATTTTGTTGTCAAATTTTAAAATGTAGATGTAGGTCAAAGGTGACGAAAGCACCCATCTACTCTTGCCAGCTCTTAGTGAAGAGGGTCTGCCAGAGCTCTGGGTTAAGATAAGGACATCAATAGAAACAAGTTTTTGGTGGGGTTCAAGCATCGTAGGCATTTTTAGTGACTAAAAGGAGAGAACCAACGTCTACTATATTGACACCTTTACTCTTTGTCCACGCATCAAGAATCAGTTCATTTCCCATGTGTCGGCATTGCGAGGGGCATGCTGAAAAATAGAAACTAGCTCAGCCTGAGACATTTTGCTCAAATCCAGTATTGCTATTCACTTAGTCAGGTAAGAGAGAAAAATTTGAAACTGGGAAATTTGAATCCATCTTCAAGCATGACCTTTTGTTCAACAAGCCTCCTCTTCCCCCACTTTTCTCTCTCTCTCATTTTGTGTGTGTGTGTGTGTGTGTGTGTGTGTGTGTGTGTGTGTGTGTGTGTGTAGTTTCTTGAGGCAAGTCTCACATTGTTGTCCAGGCTTGCCTCTAACACATTATGAGACTGAAGTTGGCCTTGAACTCCTCCTGATTCTCCTGCCTCCAGCTCCTAAGTGTTGGGATTATAGGCAGTACCACCATGTCTGGTGAAGAAGCAATGCTTTGATACTTTCAAAGTTGACTCATTTCCCCCTTGCTTCTTTCTCTTGCAGTTTGTCTAAGTGAGTCTCATATGAAGAGGGATGAGCACATGAAAAAGTACAGAAGATAGTCGCTGGCTAGGGTTCCTAAGGAGGCAGAAGGGTGAAGGGGCAAGTTTTCCATAAACCATACTACCAAGGATTAGCCAAGCAGGGCATTTAGCAAGCACAGGGGAATGTGCAGAGAGTCACACTCTGGAATGTAATAAAAATAAAATGGAGCCAAGATGTGCAGGAGACAAGCAAAGTGACTCCCTTCGAGACAAAGGCTATGCATGCCTCATCCTTGAGAACAAAAGACACAAGAGCTTGGGGGCTCAGAGCTACAATCGTAGCTCTTGGGAGGTTGAGTCCATAAGATTTCCCAGAGAACAGCCTGGACTACAGAGTGAAACCATATCTCTAAAGCAAGCAAGAAAGAGAGGCAGGAAGACAGAGATAGAGAGACACAGAGACAGAGACAGACAGAAACAGAGAATAAAGACCCATGTCGTGTGGTCCTCATCACATAAATAGATTCTGAGGGGAGAGATGCCTGTCCCTTCACATTAGTAACCACTTCTAAGTAGCTTTTAGTGCATTCAGTGAACCAAAATGAGTTAAGCAATTAAAAGTAATAGGTTTTCTGCCCCCAACCCCATAATAGGTTTTTTTTTTTCACCAAAGCAGTAAGCCAGATCAAGCCCTATTGAAAAAGTGTAACAACAGGTTTATTTGAGCAAAGCAACTCCCACATGAGTTCTCCAGTCCCAGACATCAAGGCTGGAGAAGCTGAGTCCACAAACGGAGCAGAGAGACTTTATACGTTGTAGGGGAGAGGGGGATGCTGTATCCTCCACAAGCCGGGTTTGTGCCCAAGGATGGTCAAAAGCTGAGCGCTTTAGATGGGGACTCCGGCAGCTGGCAACTTCAGGGCAGGAAGCTGCGGTAGCCGTCAAGAATGCTGAACTGGGTTTTTTGGCGCCTTTCCTTTCTTCGGGAGACTCTGAGCTGGCAGGGATTGGAGGGTGAGACGGGAATGGGGCTTTCCAGATCGTACAGGATCGAGCTGGAGGTTCCAACCAAACAAAAAGTTACTTGAAAAAAGGAGTTTATGGCCCATTTCTGGAGTTATTCCTGTTCCGTTTATTTTGTGCCAGGTAAAACAGAACTGGAATGGAGCAGGTGGGCTGAGGGTGTACGGAAGGCAGAGAGCAGGGTAGGTCTCAGTAGAGTTAGGGTTTCTGCCATGAGGTTACTCCTAGGGAAGACGTGTCAACATTTTGAACTATGAGAGGGAGAAAAACGAAGGACTCGAGCAGCGGACCCGAGCTAGAATAAGCTAAGTAAGACAACCCGTCCAGGCTCCAGGACTAAAGGACTTTAATCTGTGCAGGGTTTGGTCATGGTGCTATGCGTGCTTTGCAATAATAAGCACAAACAGAAGCGAATGAGATACAGTAACATTTTCTTTGTTTTTAGGAGAGTGGGCGCTCCCTTTCTCTTCCTGGAAAATCAGCCCCACCCATCATTCCTGCAGCTCCTTGGCTGCACCAGCCGGCTCACAGTTATTCTGGCAAGCCGACCCTCGGGCTGGAGAAAGCTAACAAGAGGCCAACACCTTGGGAAGCAGCATCCAAGTCTCCTCTTGGTCTAGTGGATGATGCCTTCAGACCTAGGAGCATCCAGGAATCCATTGTGGCGAATGTAGTCTCCGCAGCTCGGAGAAAGGCATTTCTAGGGTCCCAAGAGATCTGGAAAGAGAGACCGTCCTTTGTCCCCCAAACTCAGAAGACCAACATGAGCTTCTCGGAAAGGCAAGAGTATAAAGCGCCATCCCCAGTCAACAGCCACATGTCTACCCACTCCTTATACAGTTCGCAGTTGCCATATATGTGCTATAAGCAGGAGTCCAGATATGACCCCCAAATAATGTCCATGGAGACCAGGTCTGAATACTGTCTTCCATTAGGTGGTTGCAACTATAACCCACACCCAAGGGGGTGGAGACACCAACCATGAAAGCTACTGTGACAACTCTGTGGGTTTTGTTGCTTATGTTAGTGATCCCTTGTGGGGTTTTTTACTTCTTAAATAGACTTCAATCCACTTTTAGTCCTGTGTGGCTCTCACGGGTCATTTATCTGAGTGCACATGTGTGTAAACACACAAGTGTGGAGCACTTCCTTGTCTGTGGATGCCTAAGGAACTGCTTGGAAGCCAACAGTCACTATGAGCAGGGTGTGGTGGTGTACACCCAAAATGAGGCAAGGCAGAGTACTAGGAATTCAAGATAATCCTCAGGCACATGGTTTGAAGCCAGCCCAGGGTACGTAAGACCCTGCCTCAAAAAAAAAAAACTTTCTTGCATTGGTATTCTAGCACTTATATATTATTCAAAATCTTAATTCCATTTGCCGAGAGTCCCATGCAACTCAAGTTTGCTCAGTTATAGTGAATTAAACATCTTCTTCATGCCTTAGTCCAATAAGGAATTATTAGAATATGGCGTATTAATTACAAGTAGTTCTAATAGCAAGGAGTATAAAATTCTTCTTATTAATTTTTAAGTTAGTTGCTGGGTGGTGGTGGTGCACACCTTTAATCCCAGCACTTGGGAAGCAAAGCCACATAGATCTCTGTGAGTTCGAGGCCAGAATGGTCCATAGAGCGAGATCCAGGACAGGCACCAAAACTACACAGAGAAACCCTATCTTGAAAAAAACAAAAAACAAACAAACAAAAAATTAAGTTAGCATATAAAGGAAGGGGTTTCATTTTGTCCTGTTTATATGCATGTGCCATTATACCTTGTTCTAATCCACCCATCACCCCATTGCCTTTCCCTACGCCACCAGCCTTTCCTTTGACTAGTTCCCATCCTTCCTATTAGAATAAATCCCTAAGGTGAGCCTGACATGAAGTATAATAATTATACAGAAAAGAATCTCCTTGGTGTTATTTCAGATATTTCTCTAAAACTTTTTTAGGTGCAGTTCAGGTGTTTTAGAAGGCTGAAACTGAAATGTTCTATCCCTTCTTCTTTCGTTCGTCTGTTTGTGACAGTGCTTTGCTATGTAGTCCTGGCTGGCTTGGTACTTCTTTTGTAGCCCAGGCTATCCTCAAACCCTTATCTTGTCTCAGCCTACCAAGTGCTGGGATTTCAGGTGGGCAGCATTATGCCTGGCTGAAATAGGGATGTTCTTAGACAGGACTATGTCAGAGTCAGGGAATTGTGAGACTCAGATAGACTTTGGAGGAAACTGTAATGTGTGGGAAGCACAAATCTAGGCATTGGATTTATTTCCAATCTACTTAAAGCCAGCAGCCTGAGACAGGGAGACTTGAGTTCAATCGCTCTCATTTATCAAATGAGAAGGCTGCATTGCCTAATTGCTTAGGTTCTTAGCAACTCTGATATTGTGAGATTCTCTCGGTAGAATGACCTTTGATGCATTGTTTACTCTTGCTCATCACATAAATATCAGATTATCTTTAGGAGTGGATGAGGTCGTTAGTGCCATGAAATACGTCACCAAAGGTCCCCAAAGGAATTTCCAAGTGGCGGGTTTTGTGTTATGTGGAGTGAGGGTTGACGATAGAAATATTAATGGATTGAAGGAAGTGGTGGATGAATATGCCTGTCGTTATGCAACTGTTCTTCATAACCATTTGCTTGGTTACAGAAAACATGCCGGAGAAGCATACACAAGGGCTGCTTCTAGGCTGTTCAGAGGAAGTCAGACGGCTGACTCACCTCTCCTGTAACCCATATCTTGTAAGCATGACCAGGAGGCAGGCCAAACGCCTGCTCCTCACTGCCGTACCCACCGAGTGTTCAATACAAGGGAGTTCAGAGTACTTCATACCATCATCAAGTTTACCCAGACTATTTTTTAATTTTAAAATTCTTGAGTGTTTAATCTTCTTGTCTGTTAAAAAAAAAAAGGATAATTGTGCTTTATTTTCCCTTTTAACTCTTCATCTTATCATGATGGTGGTATCTTTCACAGACTAAAAATGAACTATGAGGATGCAAATGGTCTCTTACCTTAGAAGTTTTTTAAAAAAATGGAAGAAATCACAGTAAGTTCTACAGGTGGGGCAGGAGTGGCCAGATACTAATTTGTTCGATTAGGCGGCAACAACATGGATGACTACTTTCCAAAAGTTGATTGCTAGCCACGTGTGATGCCTTATGCCTGCACTCCTAGACTCCGAGGGATGAAGAAAAGGGACTGCAAAAATTCCAGGCCAGCCTGGGCTATAAGTGACATCATGTCTCAAAACAAAAACAAACAAACCAAAAAAAGCAAAAAATCAACAGCAAAAGTTTCATTGTTAATTTATATAAAATTAACATAATGTTAATTCCTTTAAAGTATAAAATGTAATTATTGGTCACCTATGAGTTTTTTTTGTGGTTGTTTTGTTTTGTTTTGCTTTGTTTTTGTTGTTTTTTGTTGTTGTTGTTGTTGTTGTTGTTGCAGAATCTTAAAAGAATAATGTCAGGCTAGTAGAGTTTGAAGAATCCTGCACATATGATCCGTATCAGGTTCAAATTAACCATGGTGTTTGAGTCATCCTGGATTAGGCTGTTTTGAGAAATGGGAGACTTAAATGGAAAAGACGTTATTTAGTGGGTCCAAACTCTATCCCACCACTTTCTTTTGTAAGTGCTAGGCTTTATTTCCACCAGCTGATTTATATCACACTATTTGCTAAAACTCATTAGACTCAAAAGAAGCAGATGTTTTCGATATTATTATAAAATGCACTTGTCCTCTGCTTGTACGACACCCAAACTAGCATTTATATTGAGCTATCTGAACTCATTCTACCCAACAGAAAGGCTGCATATTTTGTTCGTGATGACTTTGAGTGTCTTTATCAGACAGTGATGCTTCCACAAGTCAAACTGTGTAGAAAATTTTGCAAAGCAAGAATGCTGCTGCAAATTAGCACTGGGTCCACTGTGGGATTTTCATCTAGTTGACTAGAAAGTGACACAGTTCCATCACTGACATTCAGCCACCCGTAGATCCAGGCTCTTACAGTCAGGAAGATGTTGCTAACTATTGTTCTAACAAGAATAAAATGAGTGGGTCTCATTTTCCAAATAATAGCAATTGTACAGAAGAGCTGTGGCTTCGAAAGATATGCAAGACACATTTCAATCACCAGCAGCTACATAATGTTTGTACTAAACCTGCTCTAAAGGTTGAGCATGCCAGTTATAGAGATGTTAATATGGCATTTCCTCCCATTGACTTTGAACATTGTATCATTGCATGGATATGAAGCATTAGTTAGTAGATGATTTAAACTTGAACTCTGAGTGTGATGACTGCACAGATTCTAGTCCCTTTGTGTTTGAGGATGTTTGGCAGCATCATGCACCTTGGAGAGTATACACTTATTAGGCCTTAATCATAGATATGTATGTGTATTAATGACTTCAAACTTTGGATGAATAAATATATCAATTAGGGACAGTTATAATGGAGAGGAATTGAAAGAATGTTTCTTTAAAAAAAGTAGATTTTCACACTTGGTTTCTATTCAAAGCAGAAGTAACTGCTACACAGTTCATACTTTCCTATCAAAAAGAAGTCTGTTCTCTGGCTAATTAGATTGTCATTTCTATTTCTCTTGGTCCCCAAAGGCTGTATGTGAAGACTCAGACTGAAAATCTAAATGGTGTTAGTAATAAAGTAACTTGAAAATCAACTCAGAAGCCTTTTCATTTCTGTCCGTGTAAAGATCATTTTGAGTTATTTTTCACTGCAAGGGAGATTTACTCCTGTCCAGTGCCTGCTTTGTAAATTTCACAAGTTTTCCAGACACGTTGTAAGGATTTCATACTGCATGGCAACATTTTAACTTTTTTTAAAATCATTCTGTGACATTTACTAAAGCATGGCAGAGGCTTGACTCACTATCAGGCCATAACGAGAGAAGCACAGCACTCGAGCCTTGCTGTGGGGAAAGAGACAGCATTCAATTCCAGATGCAGCATGGCAGAGATGACATAATGGTGAAGGGGCAGGTGGGGTGGGTGGGTGGAGAGTAACTAAGGACACTTTGGGGCATTGAAGAGTCTGGATAAGCCCAACTAACAGGGTGCTTGCTGCTGACAAGCCAAGACGATCAGAGGTCTTCTGGGGAGTGTTGAAAGATAAGGGGCTCGATTAGACATCCAAAGTGGGGACTTACGGTACACTGACTTTGTCACGTTCTTTGCTGAAACTAGATTTTCTGAGGAAGCATACTGATATGCTTAATACACTCATGCATATAATATGCTGATTGAACTTTGGCCAAGCAAAGACTGTCACTGTCACATTCAAAAACTTCTTTCCAGACTCACTTGAAAATACAGTCAATTTCATTAGGAAGTTGAGATTCCAGCCAGGAGTGGTAGCATATGCCTGTGACACCAGAACACTGGAGGCTGAAGCAAGAGGATCACGAGTTCAAGGCCAGCCTGGCCTACAAAGCAAGACCCTGTCTCATAAACCAAAGCACAGCACAGTAAAACAAAAAAGAAGTGTGGGACCTGTGGTGCTTACTGTTGTTCTCTTGACAGGATCTGGAGTCACCTAGGAGACAAGCCTCTGGGTGCTCCTGTGAGAGATTACATTGTAGTTGGCCTCTGGCCACATCTGTGAGGGAGGGACTTTCTAGGTCGATGGAGACACCCTAAAATCCGGCAAGACCGCTCCATGAGCTTGGGTCCTGAACTGCCTAAGAA